ATGAACATTAGAAAGAGAATATGATAGTGTTATTTCATAGTCAGCCAGTGCAACAGAAACCAATAATTGGAACACAGTATAAAAAAGCGTAGTGAGAGAAACTCAGCCGGGGGGAAGCCGACCTTCCCACTCAGCAAAGGCTGTGGCGTTGTCCCCTTTCCCTAGCAAACTGGCTGCGTCAAGTCCCTCGACATGTCTGTTTTTTCTCAATAATTTACTTATTCAGATTGATCTGTGTCTTGTTACTCAAAACTTCCCACAATTTTTTATTTCCTAAAAAGCGATGCAGTGTCCACAGGCACACACTCAGCTCCCGTGGCTGTATTTTTCCACATCCACCAGTTGCCATGGTGAGGGAATCCCCAGCCCTAACGACCTCACCTCCTCCTGGCAGCTCCATCACTCCTCATTGGCAGGGCTCTCCTCCAGAGGCGTGATTGCAGGGAGGCCTAGTTCTGTTGCATTGTGGGATGCAGTGAGGCTGGCAACAGTGTGTAGGAGAACAAGGACCAGCAGGCAGAGTTTGAGCCGGCTGTTGCACAGTCTGCAGGCTGCCGAGGAGCTGAGGGAGGTGCGGTGTTGGCATGGCGGGTGAGTTCTTTTCAGGGTCCCCCGAGATCGGTTGTCCGATTTTATGTCCCACCGCACGTCACAGCACTCTGAGTCTGGGTCAACTCCTGATGGATAGTCCTCCAGTAATCCTGTAGGGATTTTATTTTATTTTTTTACGATAGAAATGTTTAGCATTAGATCACAGTTCAGATGATCTCACGTCACAACCAAATATCCTTAAAAAATAAAAATACAAAATTCAAATATTTGAAAAGGGAGTGCATTTAAAAGCCATATACATTTTTTCCATCAGCATAAACAATCTTAACTGTTTTTCAGAGGATGGTCACCTCTCTCTAAATATCCCGTATGTGACAAACAGAGGCTCAAATTGTTTCTCTGTCAAACTTTAGTTTGGTTCCGACCAAACTACATATTTTACTGTTTTTTTTTTTTCAAATGTTGGAAATGTAGTACAGATGGAGACATTATCTGGAATTTGACCACATTTTCTTGTCATCCGAGAGTTCCGCATTTACCGTGCTAGCATGGTCTCAAAGAGCAGAGATACACTTTCCCCTGACATCAGAAGCACTCGGGGACTGGCGATGATCTGTGTGTTTGCCGATGTGAGGGTGTGAACTGTGAAGACATCTGTGCCCACTCAGCACAGTTTGGCTGTCAACAGCTTAAATGTGACAAGACGAACCATGTAATTACAGCGAGTTTCTGAGTTGAAGTTGCCATGTTTGCACAGTGAGTGACAAAACACTGTGTGCATGAAGATATGCAGCAGCAGGAGTGACAGCCCCGAGCTGCAGAAATGAAATAGCTGCTGTCATCAGGGTCTGTAACTGTAGGGCTCAAAGCAAACGCTGGAATGTTTCTGCTGAGGGCATCAGTGGGCACAAGGTCAGCCTGGGATGACATTAAATGTATAAATAAAACTTTAAAATTGAATTTCTATTTGTGAGCTGCTGTGTCACAGGTTTAGTTATAGGTACAGTAAGTAGGTTAAACAGTTGTTTTTACAGTGTAAAGACATGTTGGTATTTATTGGTATTACTCTAGATATAATCTTACATTTCCACAACTTTCTTGAAGCTGTACCATATATGTAATATTCAAAGTTCATCTTAAATATGAGTGGACTTTGAAGTAAGTTCTGATGCAACGCACATACATTTGTAAATAGATTTATTTTGTGTGATTTTATTTACACAATTAGAACAATCAAGATTAACACAAGTTGGTTATTTTCCAGTACAAAGTAAATTAAACTTTACTTAATGACTAAAATATAGACGGCTTAAAGCAGTTTATTGAAGCGTTACTTAAATCTGGTTTTACTGTCAACAGTCAACAGATGCTCATTTTGGCCACCGCTAGAGGGCAGCATGAACGTAAATATTACATAGCTTGTTATGGGGCCAGAGATCAGACAACTGGGTCAGATGTAACTTTAAAATTGACACCCAGTTAATGGGATATGCAATAATTAAGTATTTGGTAGAACCACTGTAGTAAATATACTAGTATCAGCCAAACACTATTGATTTATTCTCAGAGTTCCACAGTTCTTGCTGCAGTGTGCATGTGCAGTGGTCTGCTTAACTGTTAAATAAAGAGAACATCTTGTAACTACATTTATGTCCACCAGCGGCAGTGGTTTCTACAGTGGACACAGTGGGCAGAGGCAGCAGAGTTGAGCAAATCTTGTGACTCAGGATTTAAGGATTTAATGCTCTTTTACCCCTCAAGTAGTCAGCAAAAGCACTACAGCCTAATTTCTCAGCGCCGCCTGAAACTGAGGGCTAAAGTCGCACACGAGTGGTGAGGGAGCCAAAAAACATAAAACTAGGTTAAAAATAAACACAAACAGCCCTTACCTGTGCATATAAAACTTGGGCTGCCTCCATGGATGAGATCATCATTGTCAGGCAGGACAAAGGGGCACCGCTGCTGCACCTCCAGGCAGTACTGACCGCAGGGGATTCGCTTGCTGCAGTGCATCTGTGTAGTCTGGAAGTACTGAGAACACAGCCAGGGCTTATACACCATCTAGGTGGGAGACAGACAGGTGAGGGCAGGGAGGGTGAAAGGGGTGGTCGGGAGGGAGAGAGAGAGAGAGAGAGAGGAAGGCATGTGGGGAGTGGGGGTGGAGAGAGAATATTAATGACTTTGAGCAGTGCTTCAAATACAATACAAACACCAATGTATGTTGTTGCATAAAGGTGCATCATCTGTGACCTCAGCAGCTGTTAATCCACCCAGTACTAGACAGATACCTCAGTAATACTTCTTCAAAGTACTTTTTTTGACCTTTTGAAGTTGACCTTTTGACCTTTGTCATTTCCTTGGTCTCAGGTTTCTGTGTTTACAACAAGCAGGTGACGTGATCCTTTGTGGTAGGCCAGTGATTGGGCATGTTTTTATGTAAACAAAATAACTTTCATTTAAAGAAAACACCGAAAATGTTAAAGTAAAAGAACAGAAATAACACAAACAAAGACTCCCATAAAAACATCACAAATGTGGCTCTGGTCAGGAATAATTTCAATCCACCTGATAAATATAACAAATTGAGTATTTTTTTCTATTTGACTAGTATGTCAATAAAACATTTATATACTATTATTTTTATACAGTTTGTTTTAGAAATATTCCCCTGACAAACTGTATTTGTAAATATTGAAGTACGTGTGGTACAGCATCTTACAGTATGTTTACCTTCTACACAGCGTGATGTGTTAAAACTAAACACATCTGTCCCTTTAGTCCAAACTGCAGTTTAAATAAATAGGAGAGAATATACAACAGTGGTTTTGTTTATGCAAAAACACTAAACACTGTCTCTAAAGCTCTAAGTAGATGTTTATATTCGCAACTATTTTTTTTTCTTGTCTCTTTTTCCCAAACCTGCCAATGCATATTAGGCAAAGACATACTGTGTACTTAGCGCCTTGTTTTTCTTTTTCCCTTGTGACTAAGTGGTTGCCTCATTACGTGGTATTATCACCTGCAGCAATTAGCTGGTATTTCCAGCTGAAACACTGCAGCGGCTGTGTGGAAGCCGAGCACCTGCTGTGAACTAGTCATCCTGCCCTGCAAGCCCAGGTATCTGACAGTGGAGGTTCTGTATGTGCACGTGGACGTGTTCGTAGGATCCTGTATAACATGAATGGACTAAGACACCAGTAGAATGATACCTTGTATCTTACCTCTAATGTATCTTTATAAAATTGACCCCTTAAGTATTGTGGTGTGTTGAACGTGTATGGGAGCATGACCATAAAGAGTAGCCCATTGTTGCCTTGTGTCCCGTAGTAATGACTGTGGTGTTTCATAGATTCAGTCGTTCTTTTCTCTGCTCTCTGTTGTTTTTTTTTGCCGACCTCACCTGTCACAAAGTGGTAACAGAAACACATCCAGCCAACTTTGTTCTAGTTGTTATTTAATAAGTCTAAAAAGTCCTAGTGACCACTAGTGTACAGTACATGGATTTTATCACGTGAAACCCATCACCTGTGAAGGCTAAATGGATGAATGAGCATAAACACTTCCATGTGTGGACGCTATACCTAAGCAAATTACTATGTGTGCTAATAAATAGATTGCGTGAACTGAAGATAAGGATTGTTTATGAGTATACACACACATACACACAGATGCTCACACACACCTGCACACAGAGCTCATCTTTCTAATCTGTTATCGCTATGTAAATGTCACAGAAAGTGCAGTCACATGACCTTTCCTCACATCTTGCACATGTTGCACACATGTATGTATATGTGTATGTGTGAGAGCAAACGCCGGTCTTTTCCATTGGTGGTGATGAGACAATCAGTCATCCTGAAACTGTCAGCATGGGTTGATGAACGCAAACGGCAAAATGCTGCTTTTATTTCCTCATTCAGCAGCACATCACACTCTACAGTGAGTGTCGAGCGGTGTCTGTCCTGGTCTTTATTATCCCTATTACTTCTCCATCCGCTCTTGGTTTACCAAAAAAAGACCTTTGAAAAGGGACTTAGGCATTAATAATCAGACATGAATAATCCATCACAACTGAAGAAATTGTGTTTTTTTTTTTCTTTTGCCCACAGCGGCAGCTTAGATTTGACTGGAGCCTTATCTGCTCCACACTCCCCTCTATCGATGTTTGGTGGTGTTTCTTTACAAGGACAAAGAACTGCAGTAACCTACATCTAAGTGACACCTACACGGTGAAACCAGAACAGAAAAGGGCAGAACGCCTCCTATGTGTCTGGCCGTCAGCAAAAAAACATCTGCCTGAAGTGTAACAGATGTGGTGTCAAAGCGGCAGCTTTTTTTTTGGCCGTTTGCCACACGTGTGTGTCCTTTTGCTCTCAGCAGCAGTTAGCGCAGCCCACTGCTGCTGCAGCTGCTGCAAACATCTCTGCTCCCTCTCCCATCACTCTACAGTAGAACCATGACTCCTAATTTATCATCCTGCTGTCAAAATCTCAGAGCCAGAGAGAAAGCTTATGGGACAAAGGGACAACAGTGTAATGAAGGAGGCAGAGAGATGCCCTCTCACTCCTATTTATAAAACTTTCTTCTTTCCATATATTCCTTCAACCCTTCGGGGGGACAGAGTCAAACACTGCTTTCTTTTAAACACCAACTGTGGTTCAGAGGTCGGAGAGTAGGCTTTAGAAATGTCGTGTTTCTTCTCTCTGTGTGACAGCCATTAAATTCCCGTTATCTGATTTCATATAATTTTCTCTGTGTTACTGTCATCACTGAGTTATCTTCACAGGCTGCTTGAAGAAAGGAAACAGATTGTCGTGACCCGCCGTTAGTTCCTAAAAAAATGATGTGGAATATGTTGTTGGTTTAGAAAGTAACTCAGTTTGTCTATAAGTCTCTTTTAATCTCACGCCTCTACTAATTCTCTCTCTGAAATCCTACCAAAGGTACTAAAAAGAAAATATTAGCACATTAGTTAGAGCGTTAGAGAGTTATGATGTGATGATAAGATGTGGGTCATGACTTCCCCTGTATGGAGATAGTTCAAGCTCAATTCATTTCTAATTCACAATGCATAAATATCACTTACACCTAAGCGGTGACATAGACGTTGTAGGCCTTATTGCTTTTAGTGCATTGTTTCTGAACGCTTAGACTTTCACATAGTTTAAAAAGAAAGGTCCTTGCTGTGAGTTTTTTTGTGTGCAATATTTCCTGAGAGACAAAAAGCTCAACCTTGTTCTTATTAGACTACAAAACATTTTTCTATTTGTGTGAGACAATTTTTTTTTTTTTGGGGGGGGGAGTTCACCGGGGCAGGTTGATGGGTACGTTGGCTGAGAGGTGCGAAACACTTTTGCAAAACTGGAAACAAATTTATGTTTCCAAAACAGTCGAACAAGACGCAAAAGGACCAGTCCGGGCAAATTGAGAATTTAAGTGTCTTTTCAAACTGCACACGTCAACAACAAATTGCTTCTTTAATGTTACTGCAGTATCTCGACAGGCCTGACGACTTTGTTCGGTCTTAACAACTTCTTGGAAGGCATCTGGTCCACACTTGTGCCTTATCTTCTCTACATGACACCGACCGTCTTTGCTGTGTCTCATTTCTTTTGTAAAGCCTTTATATTTTTCTTTGTAACCTTCAACTGATCTGTACCTGATGTATGGGAAGTCTTTGCGGACTCGACTTCTGTTGTCAGATAAGACACAGAACACAGCGAAAAATCCTGCTGCTTTTGCCGGCCTTTAATTGGACTTAGTCAGAGTCACTTCATTTGATCGCGATGTCTCCTGACCTTTGTAAAGCATTGATTTGTGTGTAATTAGCTAATTCTAAAATCACAACTCAGGTTTTTATTTCAATTGATAAAATACACACAGGCAATTGGACATTATTTTTCGATTTATTCTTGATGTGGCCACAAATCTGAATTTTCCAGTGTTTTATCTGTGTCTGTGGATAGAAATCAACAAAGGTGTGTAAATGTAAATGCAGTGTTAAACAGATGGAGGGAGAGAGGCCAAATTTCAACGTCAGAATTAATTTGCTATAACAACATATTTATGTTTGACTCTAACCAAATCCCAGCTACTGCTGCCCCCCCCCCTTTTTTCCCCCTACTGATCCACAGAGTTGAGACTCAGCGGTCTCCTGGAATAGATCGTATCATTACGATCAGGCGATTAGGGTTGTAATTGATGAAAGTCCTGATTCTGCCCTGTGGTATTCCTTTTAAGTAGCCCCAGATGGCCTTTATTGTCAGCGCCTCATCTTTAATACTTTATCTAGACTTGAGGTTGTGGTGAAACCGCTGACAAAGACCTGGCCCATTACGGCAACTCATCCTGCTAACAGCGTGGAAAACATTTCCCTGAAAGACCCGGACACACAAATATTAGAGTCAGGAATCGAGTCAGGCCCCTTCCCCCCTCACTGATCTTTAGCTTCACAATATAAACAGAGTTCATGGTAAATGCTGGAATGTTATACACAAGAAGGAAGAGCCATTTTCATAATGACAGTGTCACTCCTTCACATAGTTGATGCAATATTACTGAAACAGAGGTTCAGAAAAAGTGAAGCCTCAGGATCACTGTTGGTGACTAGACGGTTTTAGTCACAGTTTTGAAAAAAGCTGTTGTTTTGACAGAAATTGTGCAAATTTAAAAGACGCATCATCCATCAATAAAAGATAGAAGAAAAAAAAACAAGCAATCGACAAAACTGTCATTATTAAAAGTATCCACTTTTGCAAATGTATCCAGCTTTTTTAAAAATCAGAACTAACTAAAATACAGTAACTGCAGTGAAGCAATGCAGCAAAAGACGAATGTGCTGATACGACTCATGTGGATAAACTTCTGAAGAGTAGAATAATATCCTGGAGAGAGTGAAAGGCCACAAAGATGACAGAGAAGGTTGTTCAGGACATCACTGTTCACAAACAGCCCATGTCTATAATAATGACAAATTTTATCAGCCTGTAGATACGAGGCGTGTCCTTCTGTTGTAATCTGTCCCTATCTGTCACAGCGTACCTTACTGCAGCTCTACAGTC